TTGGAGGATTGTCCTTTTCCACTATATTCAAAAAGTCGTTCATCTGGAATCTTGGGATGCTGACTAAGATGCTCATGATGACTCTGTGATTTCTCAGATGTATTATCCTCATCAGTTTTCTCTCCAGGATACATGACATCAGTCTCTGAAAGAAGTGCATTCTGACATACATTAAACTCCTCATGCCCCACTCCTGAATAGTTTCCATTATTTATAACCAGATTTAAAATATGCATTGAACTCAAATTCAATGATTTTCCTAACTCCACTCTCTCCTCAGTTGATTGGTTGCCATTGATGATTACACCTTGCCACAAATATTTACCATGACTTTCAGGGCTCCTCTCAATTAGATCATTGATTATCTGGATATCTGAAATGACAAAAAAAAAATTGATGAACCACACATAAGCATATCTTATTGCATGCTCATGTAAAGGTAGAGAAGTTTCTCCCAACCCTAGTAATAAAAGATTTTATGAATATCAATAATGGCTATTATTTCAGGAGTATATGGGTTTTCTTCATACTTTCATATGTTATGCTGTCTTAATATATTTTCTTTTTTTTTTTTTTGTCTTTTGGTCTTTTTCCGTGTCCGGCAACGGATCGCAACCCTCAGTGTTGCCCCCGTACCGGACCAGGGACTGGCAACGGGATTGCAAACCTCGGCGTTGCTCCCGCGCCTCGCTCAGCCAGTGAGCGGGAGCCGGTCCGTATGTGGGATCCGAACCCTCGGGTGGGAGCGCCACCGCGCTTCCCAAGCGGCGCACTACCCAGTGCGCCACCGGGCCGGCCCGATATTTTCTAACATTATGTCACATTATAATTTGCTTCTTTGTTCACTTTTTTCATTTTAAAATCATGATAAAATATTTGATAATTTTTATGTTTTTCCTAATTGCAAATTTCAAATGATGGCTTATCACCTTCCATTGGTTTTTTGCTCTACTTTCCTTTTTACTCTATATTATTTTTATAATTTTTACTCTATTTTACAGTTTTTTACACTATTTTTTACAGTTTTTACTCTATTTTACTTTTATGACAATAGAGGTTATCTCCTGCTGCTCTTTTTCTCATTCTTCAACTTCAAATATGGTTAGGTTTTCCTTCATTGGCTACTTTCAGGAGAAGAACAATCCAAATTTTCATCACAAGTGGAGCAAAATGACTTAGGTTAAGAATTTTGCATTAATGTTTCTGTACTTTTTACTCTTCCCTAGGAAATGGCTATGGGCATGTGGAAGTTTTTCAAATAATAAAATCTCCTTTTTCCCACCCTAAACAGAGCCTCCTACAAATTACTCATTTAACCTCACTTCCTGTGCTTCAAATAACCATTACTATACAGGAAACTTCAGTCCACCCCAACAGATACCCTGCTGTTCTAAAATATTTGGTTCTGCAACCAAAGCTTTGCCCACCATCTTTGAAAAGGGTGTTTTTGACTCCTTATAAACTAAACCTTTATTCTCTTCCCAAACTCTGGAACACACACTCCCACTTGATAATTCACTGCTCATGAAAGATTTAGTATTATGCACTGGAGTTTTGGATGGGTATTACTCTCATAAAAAATAGTCTCCTGTACATTTCTAAATTTCTTTCTTGTTTTAGATTGATTTCCACAAAGAGAAGAGAAAAATACTAACTTCAAATTCCACTTCCAAGCAGCAATCTCAGTCCCTCAACTTGAAACCCTTGTTTCCCTCGACCTTGATACCATGAGTCTCCTGGTTCTTCTATAAATTCCAGAACTCTCCTTTTCTATGCCTTATGCTAGGTCTGCCTCAGCTCCATAATTTCTGATGTGGTACAGAAGGCTCATACCCGGACCTCTTATTTTCTTATCAACTTCCAATGTGATATCCTGCACTACTTTGGGATTCTGTCAAGGATCCCAACTAGAAACAAGGCCCTTACCACATGCAGCTCCTAGATCTTGGAATGCTCAGCCTCCAGAACAGAAAAGAGCTAGAGTTTCTTTCTTCATAAATTACCCAGTATCAGATATTCTAGTTTAAGTAACACAAAAGGACAGAGTCTGAAAAACCATGTCCATCAGAGTGCAGGACATTATGGCAACTGAGAATACTGAAAAAGTAAATAGCAAAAATAAATGTCAAAGAAGAGAAACATAGGGATTATATTTTAGGAAAACATGTTAAAATTTTAACAGCAAAATAAAATATGGAGATATATGTGTATGGGTCCATCTAAGAGAATATACAATACATGTGTTTGATGCAAGAAGATGAGCCAGCCTCAACTCAGTCACCTGTGGAAAAATTGCTAGAAACAGTTGAACACAGCCAACATCTGCTGGGTTTTACTCTCCCTGGCCTCTGCCCAGGATGTGCTTACTAACCTTGAAGGCTCTGGTTTGGGTGTTCTTTTATTATCCATGGCTCTGCTCCTTTCTCCAACTTGAGGATCACCTCAGGTTTATTAATGCAGTGCCCTGTTAGTGGGAAGTAACATAGGACTTTATAAAACAGCAAAGCCAGATCCTTGGAAGAATGACAAGAGCTCAGCTCCAGAAATTACACAATACAGAGGTCAATTTGAAACTTGTTAGACAGGGATGATATGTTTTTCATGAAATGTATTTTTTTATCAAATAGAATAAAACCCTATAAACCATTCCTATTTTTATAAAAAAAAAACAAAAAAATTTTTCTGAATGTTACTGGGGAGTTTCACTCACCCAATGACACCAGGCTGCTGTAAATGTTTCTCCTGAAAGTTACTGGGGAGTTTCACTCACCCAATGACACCAGGCTGCTGTAGGTCTCTAGCATCACATCCCTGTACAATGTCCTCTGAGCATCATTCAAGTCCCTCCACTCCTCCCAGGTGAAGTCCACAGCCACATCCTCAAATGACACCAACTCCTGGAATGACACATTGATCTCAATTCAAGCCACCAGCCCTGGGTCAGAAAACAGGAATCTCAGATTTCACACTTTTGGGTGAGGATGAGGGTCTTATGTGTTAAATAAGGTGCTGCTTTTCTATTCTCCCTATAGTGTAGTTAAAAATAAAAACTAGCAGGAATATCCTGTCACTGTAATAATATACTGATTACTAAAAATAGGATTACAAAGATTACCTTATAGCTAAGAACCATTCTTCTTGCTAGTGATAAAAGTGTTAATAAAATATCACTTCTCCAAGAAGTTTGTAATCAGGTTTGAAGACATACGTATAAATACATACCTGAACCAGTGTGTCAGACTAACAAATTTTGACAGTTCAATAGAGAATGGGATAAGACAAAAAATATTTTTATGTTGCATTGTTTGCACTTCACTGAAATGCCAAAGATGTTAAGCTCTTCCATGTGAACCACATGTTCTCATGAGTGTGAGGCAACAGTAAAACTGAACTCACAAGAGCAAAGGAAGACACCCCATGTTAATGTAAGCACACATGGCACCACGTCTAAGTGAGTGCTCATGGGCAGTGATAACAGATACACACACTATTAAAGAAACACATTATGGAATGCTTCTGCATTTAAATATTTTTCCATTTTGAAAAGTGAAACATTACATAAAATTGCTGTTTTTTAATTACTTATAAACTGAAAGCATATACAAAAACACTCCAAAATTTCCTTCCCACATGCCAAAGGATTGCTTTTGTCTGCATGAGAATGAACACTGCCACTTTCTAAACACAGGGTATAAATAATGTGGTTTTGTAAATACAAATCAGTTACATATTAGATTTTCAGTTTAATAGCCATCCACTAGAAGGAGAATGGAAAAAGCTTTAGAGAGAGTCAGAGCAGAAGAAAACAGGGTGGTTAAAGACCAGCTGCATTAGAACATAGGGCAAGTCTGGTTAGCTAGTTGTCTTGGGAGACCATGTTTCTCATAACATTGAGGTCACAGGTTCAGATCCCCATAAGGGCCAACCAAGAGAAAAATAAAATAACAGACCAGTAAGCATACAGAAGAGGAAATTAATGTGGAAACAAAAACCAGAAAGACACTGTGGTGCTAAGCTCCTGTGCAGAAAATAAGTGTTTTACTCTTAAGCTCTCTACATAATCAGAGCTAATTAGGTACAGGCACTGTAAAGTGTAGTTTTTAGAATGACAGAAAAATATAATGGGCAGAAATAAAACAGACTTGAATACATTATACTTGAAATATCTGTGGGAATGTGCAAATGGCAATTGGATACATGAATCCAGAGTTCAAGAAAGGTATCTAAGCTGAAGTTAAAGATTTGGAAATGTATTAGTCCATTTCTGTTGCTTATAACAAAATACCTAGAACTGGGTGACTTGTTAGAAACTGAAATTTACTGCTTGCATATTCAAAAGCTGGGGAGTCAAAAGTCCAGGGAACACAGCCAGTGAAGACCTCAGTGCAGATGACAATGACCCAGGGGTCTCACATGGCAGAAAACTGCAAAGCAGAGATAGGTTAACCTTCGATGTGTTCTTCTTGTAAAGCCCTCAAAACAACATCCCTGCCCACCACTATTAACCCATTCATTATGGTATGGTCCTACGATCTAATCACATCATTACAGCCCCATATTTCAACTACCATAATAGGATTTCCCACCATCTTAACACCATCACAGAAGGTGTCAAGTTTTGGGGGGACATTCAGTCCAAGGCAGGGAAATATCTAATTTCAATGTTACCTGAAGCCATCAGAATGAATGAGTAAACCTAAGAGATTCCAAGTAAAAACAAAACAAAACCAAAAAAGAACAATGAAAGTCTGCAGAAGCACTTTATCTTTAAACATAAGATAGAGGAAAAGTAGAATGTGAAGAACAAAAAGAAATTTTCTAAATTTATTCCACAATTTAAGGAAAGTTCAGTATTAAAAAGTCTACCAATATAATTCCTTATATGAATATATAATTTATTAAATATATATATGTATTTGCATTTGGTCTGTTTGGAAATCCAACATATTTGTAGTTCTATGAGTGAAAATCCTTTAAATAATTATATAGATGTTAGAAAGATACACGGGGGAAGCCAACTTGCCAGTATAGGGATCAAACTATGGTCCTCGATAGTACTGGCACCACACTCTCACCGACTTGGTAGACTGAAGATAGCTGAGAAAAAAATCTCTGGGCTTGAGGATAGATCAAAGAAATTGAAAACTGAAAAGCATACACACGAAACAAAACGACAAAAATAACAGTACATAATATCTGAAGAGTGTTGGACAATGTCAAAAATTGTAATAGAGAGTAATGAGAAAACCAGCAGAATAGAGATGGAGAAAAAAATAGAAGAAACACCTAAAACAATAATGTATGAGAACTTCCACAAATTAATATCAGGCACCAAACCAAAGATCAAGGGAGTTAAGATAACACAGAACCAGATAAATGCCAAAATACTACATCTAGGCATGTTGTTCTCAAACTTCAGAAAATCAGAAATAATAAAAAATCTGTAGCCAGAGCAAGGAAAAAATATCATACGTAAAAAGGAACAAGATAAAAATTAAACCCAACATCTACTGAGAATCCATGTAAGTAAGGAGGGAGTACAGTGAAATATCCAAACACTTGATTAAGGATACCTACAACCTAAAGTCCTGTGCACTATGAAATCAACCTGTAAAAAAGAGGAAAAGATATAGTCTTTCTCAAGGAAACAAAATTGAGAGAATTTGTTGCCAGTACACCTTTATTGGAAGCAATGTGAAAAAAAAAAAAATTTTACAGAGAAGGAAAAAGATATAGGTTAGAATCTGGATATACATAAAGAGAACTAAAGAAAAAAGTAAGGGTTCAATAAAAACCTTTTTTTACTTGAGTTTTTTTCATTGCAACATAGTTGATTGTACATATCTTTGAGGTAAAGAATTGGATATCAATGTGTGCAATATGTGATGTTCAAATTAGGGTAATATATTCTTCATTATACGTGTGCAATATGTGATGTTCAAATTAGGGTAATATATTCTTCATTATACAGTATAATCAATTTTTCTGACCCTTTACAAATACCTCCCTTGCACCATCCCCCTGAGCATTTCCTACCTCTAGTAACTCAGTTCTGTTTTCTATTCTTGAAGTTTAATGCAATATTGTGATTGTTGTATATTTCCTTTATATATTTATTAAATTACTTATTTATTTTCTTAGTTGCCACATATAAGTGAGGACATGCAAAATTTTTCTTTTTGTACCTGGCTTATTTTACTTAACATAATTTTTCCTACGTTCATCCATGTGGCTGTGAATGGCAATATTTCATTCTTTTTAAAGGCAGAGTAGTATTTCATTGTAGAAATATAGTACATTTTCCTTATCCAGTCATCCAATAATGGTCATTTAGGTTGGTTCCAACTCTTGCCTACTGTAAATAGAGCTGTAATGAACATGGGAGTACAGGTTTCCCTTCTACATGACTATTTCAAATCCTTTGAATGTATACCCAGCACTGGGATTGCTGAGTCACATGGCAGTTCTATCTGTACTTGCTTGAGAAAACTCCATGCAGTTTTTGATTAGGGCTGCACCAATTTACAGTCCCACCAACAATACAGGAGGGTTCCTTTTTCTCTGCATTCTCACCAGCATTTGTTATTCTCTGCATTTTCATAGTAGCCAGTCTAACTGGAATGACATATTTCAATGTGACTTTGATTTACACTTCCTGGATGCGGAGTGATGTTGAGCATTTTCTCCTGTATCTGTCAGCCATATGTATATCTTCCGTTTGGAATTGCTGATTCAGCTCCTTTCCCATTTTTAAAATCAGACTATTTGTTATTCTACTTTTAAGTTGTTTGAGTTACTTTTATATTCTGGATATTAGTCTTTCATCAGATGCACAGTTTACAAATAATTTCTCCCACTCTGTAGGTTATTTATTTTTTTTTTTTTTATAATTTTTTATTTTGTCAATATACAATGTATATGATTATTATGGCCC